AAAATTCAACAATTCAAATATTTTATTATAGCATATTTATAATCATTTTATTATGTTACTATTATTCAGCTCTTACTGTGCTCGATTTAAAATTAAACTTCACCATTAGTATGTACATACAAGAAAAAGCAGTTTACATAGGACACCCACTGGCAGTGTTAGAGTGTGTTCCCTTGTGGTTGGGAAAAGGCACCAAGGGGCAATGGGGGCCATGTGTTTTTCTTCATAAATTAAGCTCTAAGAATTTTAATTTGAAAATCATATTAAATATCCTTTTGGAGTTCTCTAGGCTTCTATTTTGCATATGTAAATTAAGACAAAATTAGTAGCTACTGCCTGGATTTGCTGTGAGAATTAATTAATAGATGCAAAATGCTACAAACAGTATCTGATCATAGTAAGTACCTGGACTAGACCACTGTGATGGTGATGTTGCTCTGTATGCTATGAATGTGTTGCTCTAATTGTTTGATAAATAAAATGCTGATTGGCCAGTAGCCAGGCAGGAAGTATAGGTGGGATAAGCAGGCAAGGAGGATTCTGGGAAGAGAAAGGTTGAGTCAGGAGATGTTAGCTCACTGTCCAGGTAGCAGCATGTTATGGCATACAAGTAAAGCCATGGAACACGTGGTGACATATAGATTAACAGAAATGGGCCTAGTTTAAGTGTAAGAGTTAGTCAGTGAAAGGCCTGAGCTAATGGCCGAGCAGTTTTAATTAATATAAGCCTCTGTGTGTTTATTTGGGGCTGTAGGACTGGTGGGTGAGAGATTTGTCCTGACCATGGGCCAGGCAGGACACAGGAAAACTTCAGCTACACCACCATTTATTCTTTGCCCAGACACTAAACTCTGATACTTGGAGACAGAGTTTCATATAGCCCAGGCTGGTCTCACTATGTGGGTGACCTTGAACTTCAGAGTTTCTTTTGTTTCTATTCCCCAAGTACTGGGATTCCCTGCATGAACCATCACACCTCCTGGTCCTCTTGATTACTAAAGAACTTATTTGTTTACCTTACTTTCTTGATTTTTATAAAATAATTTATTTTTCATTTTATGAGCATTGATCGATGTTTTGCCTGCATGTTTGTATGAGGGTGTCAGATCTTTTGGAATTGGAGTTACAGATAGTTGTAAGCTGCCATGTGGGTGCTAGGAATTGAACCCTGGTCCTCTAGAAGAAGAGCCAATGTTCTTAACCACTGAGCTGTCTCTCAGCCTTTACCTTCTTGATTTTAAGATCCAAAGTTATTGTCATTATAAAAAAAATGTCTACTCAAAACTAAAAACAGGGAGGCATACATGGGTATAGAATTTGGATGACACGGTCTTAGGATCTACACTAAAAATGTAAAAATAAAAACAGAAGATTTATTTTGAGACAGGGTCTCACTGTGTAGACCAGATTGGCCTGGAACTCACAGAGATCCACTTCCCTCTGTCTCCTGAGTGTGGGTCACCATGCCAGGTTTCATTTTATCTTTTACTTTTGTATGTATGTGTGCACAAGGGTGCAGGTGCCTATATTCATTCTTTTCTTTTGCTGTGATAAGTCTCCATGACCAAAGCAACCTATAGAAGAGTTTATTGGGGTTTTAGAGTGTCAGAGGCTTAAAGTCCATGCACGCAACAAGGCAATAGGTAGGCTGTCATGGTGCTGGAGCAGTAGCTGAGAGCTGACCTCCTTTATGAGGCAGAGAAAGAGAACTATCAATGGCATAGACTTTGAAACCTAACCCTGCCCCCAGTGACACAACTTCTCAACAAGGCCACACCACCCAATCCTTCCCAAATAGTTCCACAAGCTGGGGATCAAGTATTCAAATATAGTTGCCTATGGGAGCCATTCTCATTTGAATTACTACAGGGTCTGTGGAGGCCAGAAGAGAGCACTGGATCCCCTGAATTGGAGTTACAGATGTGAGAAACTCAATGTGGGTGGTGGGAACTAAACTTGTGACTTCTAGAAGGGCAGTGAGTGATCTTAACTGTGGAGTCATCTCTCCAGCACTTTTGAGTAACAGGATATGATGTTATCTTTCTGAGCCCGTTTCTTGGCCTATGAGGTGAAATCACACTTACTTTCCCTTAAACAGAGGCTGTGAGCCATAAACAGAACATACACAATGCCCACACTGTTGTTCTCCATCTCCAACTGCACAAATGCCTAGAACTATAGACCGACATTCTACGGCTTATACTGAAATGTGCCTCACTGATATCAGATCTCAGAGACTTATTTAGAACAAACCACTTCTAATACATTGGCCATGGAAAAATATTTCAAGGTTGGAAGGAGAAATGTAAGCCTGTGCTTAGAGCAACCATGAGGCCTCAGTATAGTTTTGAACTAAAGGCAGGTTGTGCTACTTACATTTAAAGAGTGTGAACTGGTTTACTTTAAAAATATACTTCCGAAGCTGACTTTATCTAACTTGTTACACTTGTTCTAGCTTCCTTGGACATTCACAACTGGTGAGCTAAAGGATTAATTTGTAGCTGAGAGTGTCTCCCTCAGTTTAGAGGGTGCACTTAACCAAGCTTGAGGTGCTGGTTTCAATGCCCATCATCAAAGGAAAACAACTGTATACCATCACCTAAGCCTCACACGCCCATTGCATGGTTGTCCTCATCCAAATCCCAGGGCACATTAGTAACTCAGTCTGCCGGTGCCTGGGTCAGCAGGTTCTCTCACCCATGTGGCTGCTTTAGGTCCATCCAGCTCAGAGTCTAATGGATCCCAAGGTCCCTGGGTCACATGGTTTGTGTCCTCTTGCTCTTAGTGAATGTCACTAAGCAAGGTGTGTGGAGGTGCTGGGTCTACTCTCTAGACCAGAAACACAATTTGCATGATGATATCTAGCTGTTCCTCCTTTCAAGTCTGGCATCGTTTGTATTTTAACTGTTCCTATTTCTCACTTTCATAGCAGCACAGACTGCCTGTGAGGACTAGAAGGTATTGTCTGGGATACTGCATTTGTAATAGCTTCCAATGATACCTAAAATTTTACTGTTATCGTGTATTCCTTTGTGCTAGTAAGCATTGCTTCCTTCCTTCATAATTCTATTTTGTGGTGCCAGCAAACTAACATATTAAGCCATTAACACCTTAGCATCGATTTACTTGAACTCCAGTTTCTTAGGATTTTACTTGTAGTCATGTATCTAAGTATGTGTCTGTGTGGGGGTATGTGCTCGTGCCTGCAGACGCCTGGCGAAGTCAGAGGCATCAGGTCCCCTGGCTCTGCACTTGGAGGCACTTTTACATTGCCTGAGGTAATGTGTTGGGAACTCAGGACTTCAAGTGCAGTTCATGCTCTTAACCATCCCTCCAGCCCCTAGACCGTGATTTATTGCAGGGCAAAAACAATATTGGATTCTGAAAAAATGAACTGTTGAGGTGAACGTTCTTAAGACTCACAGCACATTTATTTGTCCTGGGATGGCCTACAGTTAAATGTAGATTTGAATGACTCACCCAAGGACAAAGCGCAGGAAGGGCCCAGCTGAAGGCAAAGGTTATTCGCTGCTCACGGCAGCCCCGGGCTGGGGTAGCAGAGAGCAAAGGCAGACCAGTGAAAGGTGCTGACCGTATCAAGGCTGCACAAAGACCGCGAGAGCAGACGGTGGCTTGGACGCTACAAACAGGCTCAGGGCTGTAAGACAGAAGACTGAGAGGGACAGGGGTGTGAGACCCCTACCCCTCAGTACAAGGGCTGAGACCACTGTCCACGTGGCTCTGTGTCACTCACTCGTCAGTGAAAAGCGGATGGTGGCACAGGTCAAGAAGGTCTGAAACCCTGAGTGGCATGCACCCCCAGGCTGTTATGGCCACTGTCAGCAGGTATTTCCTGTCCATAGCTTTGGGTAGTGTACACTTACCTACCACTCCTGGGAGGTGCCTTTCGTCCACACCTTAGGGGAGTGTCCACTCACCCGCTGCTCTGTCTGCCACTGTTGGGAGGTGCCTGCTGTCTGTAACTCAGGGGAGTGTCCACTCACCCGCCACTGTGGGCGGGTGCCTCCCCTCAGGGGAGTGTCCACTCCCTTTCACAGTTTTGTTAATTTCCTGTCTCCTTAAAAATTCACTTTTACTCAATTCCACCGTCATTCCCAGTACACAAAGAATCTTCAAAGAATCACCAAAACTGGGAGAGAGGGTGTAGCAGGGATGAGAAAGGGGAAATTTAAAAACAGCTTTAAGGAATTTGGTAACAACTGGTCGAAGTGCTCGTCAGCTGTAGCCTCACTCTCCTCACCCGAGTGATGACATCTGTAGTCCTGACCGGACAGGCTGAGCCCCTCCCGTCCCACGGTGTGCTGGCTGTGGGGGCGGGGCTCTGCAGAGGGGGGGCCCTTCCCTAGCAGACCTGCTTGATGGCCTGGGGGGCTGCTCCCATCTCCTAACGTTTCCACAGAAGCTCTCTGACCTTCATCGCTGCAGAGGGTTCCAGGGTTGGAAGCGGGGTGTCTTCAACAGCTGCAGTGGTACCTGTTTCCATGGTCACCGACGGGATTCAGGTTGGTGTCACTGCTAATTAATCACCTCATAAACCTCTCGTTCTTACAGGACAGATACAGTGGATGGGAGACCTACACCTGAGCTTGGAGTCTACTTTCTCTTCCTCATGAGATTCAGGCCATTGTAGTGTTTTTCCTGCTTCTCGGGCCTCAGCATACATACCACTTTAGTGGCCCTCCTAGAAGATTTAGCTGTGACACTTGTCTTTCCTCTGGGCTCCCAGAATGCCCTTTTGTTGACTCATACTCTACACGTGGTCCTGCAACAAGGGAGGTAAGTATGGGTTGTCCCATCCTCCACACACCAGACTCTAAGGCTGTCAGAGTCTGGGTGAGCCTTGTCTGCCTGCATGTCATCCGCACCTGGGTCTCAGAAGGCACTTAGAAAATGTCAAGTGAATGGAGGGAAGAGGGAAGAGAAATAGTCTCTTATTCATTTATTGAGCAAAACACAGGAAGAAGTCAATGACGCAGTGACCCAGTAAGTAAAGCAAGCTTTTAATGACTCTTCTCTCACATTTGTGAGCATGTTAGCAAGTGAAAAAAAAAAACTGCTTTTATTCTTTCTACAGAACAGAGCTCCAAATAACAATCACAGAGTTAAAATGAGTAAGATGCTGGACGAGGAGCCAAAGAATATTATCAAATAACAAAATCTCAACAACAATTTATCAAATGAAACTTTACTGAGACATAAGAGAATATGGGTTTGTAGTTAACATGGCTAAAAATGAGACGTTACAGGAACTAAGTCCATAAACCCAGGACAGGCACTATGCAACATAAGCGATTAGGTGAGCACACATTATAGACAAGCCAGTATCTGAAGCAGCTCATAGCACCAACACACTGGCAGGACCAGCAGAGAGGCAGGTCATTCAACCAAGGCATCTGGGAAGAGGGAGGCTCTCGGCCAGCATCTCTTTCTCCTCCCTTGTGACAACAGGGGAAAGGAGAGCTGAAGTGCCCCGGTCCAGAGTCACCCAGCACAGGACTAAGCAGACCACCAACCACTGGTTAATGCTCTACTCTATTTGATTTGACGGAGTTTTCCTACTAACAGGTTTACGATGGAAGAAAACAACTAACTTCATAGCATACTTCGGGATTGTGTTTATTCCACTGGGAAGGACTCTTGGGCCTGGGCATGGACACACTTTTAATACAGATTCAGAGGGGTGAGTCTGACAGTTCTACCTTAGTGGTAAGCTGGTAGAGAGGCGGCACCTGAATAGGTAATTTGGCACATCTTTTTAAAATGTTATTTTGGTGTGTGTGTGTATGTGTGTGTGTGTGTGTTTGTGTGTGTGTGTGCGCGCAGGGGTAACACATTGAACATGTGGAGGTCAGAGAACAACCTGTGGGAATCAGTTCTTTTCTCCCACCTTGTACAGCCTAGGGATCAAACACAGGTTGCTGGGCTTGGCAGCAAGCACCTTTACCCACTGAGCCATCCTGCTGGTCCCAGTTTGACACATCTTATATTGTGTAAACAATGAGTCAAAATTATTAACTCATTGGTATAAAATTTTCCCCATGGATAGTTTAAAGATTAGTAAAGTACAAAAATAACCCAAACACAGAAAAAGCAGACCAATTCTTCCCGTGAAAATTAAGTATGATACTCTTTTACTTCCATATGGTAAAAAATTGAAAAACATGATTTCAGAAAAACAAAATATTTAGCTACAACCCACAGCTTATGAACCATCTAGTATATAAAGTATTTCCCCTGTTTATAAATACGTGTGTTTCTTCAAAATGTTTTGGAGTCATGGAATCTTGGATACTCTATCTTGCCACAGCCCCAAGGCTTAAATTGGACAATTGATGATGAACTGTGGGGACCAGAGTATAAACACTCTATTGCTCACAGGAGTGGCACTACAGACAAAACAGATTGGACATACAGAAATGAAGCCAAGTTGTCAGTGTAGGAAAAAAAAAATCCCACACAGGACTTCTATTCATTCGGACCATCATCATACTGCTGCGGACAGTTAGTTATCTGGCTTCCGTAAGTGAACAAAGACAGATAAATAAAAGTGACTTCTGCATGTCATATATATATGTATACATATATTATACTTTCTTACATAGACCTTTAGCTATAAGTAAATCAACATTTGGCTTAATGTTTTCCCTCTTGGGTCCAGCATCAAAGGATCTGATTTCACTTTTATTGTGAGTACAGCTCAGATCTGGTTAGGAAGTTACAAGACATTTACTGTCTCTAACCAATGAAAAGGCAACGAAATATTTTGGGACCTCAAGTTCATTTCTTACCATTAAAAGCATATTAACAAACATATGTTTAAGTACTAAAGAATATACTATGTTTGCTACCAATAATGTGCACATGATTGCATAAAAATATTCTGTAATAAACTGCCTTATAAATGTTTAAAGAAACATGTTTAAAATTAGAGTGAATATAAGATTAGTGTTCTGAAACCATCAGTAGAAAAATATACTTGTAAAAAAAGAATGTTTCATTAAATGTAAAAATTGTCTTTTTGGTGTACATTTCCATTTTTACCTTTTGCAAGGTAAAAAAGCTTTCTCTCTCTCCTGAACAGGTGCCTTGAATGCAGCTGGAAACTAAGCGATCGGGGAGAACAGGTTGTGGGCAGTGCTACGGCTTCCACATGCTCAGTTCCAAGTGCGGACCAGATGGGTGACTTGGAGAAATACTGAATGTCTCCGAGCCATTTAGGAATAGTGCTGCATCTGTTTATTATCAAGAAACAAGATGCTCAAAGTCCAGGCATTACATATTAAAAGAGATTTTCTTTTAGGGCACTCTGTATACAAGTAGGGAAAATTCTCTAAACAACTCCTGAGGGCTAAGTCCTTTCTGAGAACACTTTTTAAAAAGTCCTCCCTTAGTAGTTACCTTAATGAACTGAACATGAATTAAAATATCACAGGCCTTGTGTTTGGTTCGGGCTTCTAAATGAATATTTTAAACGAACCCTCTCATTGTGACAAAGTCAAGATATGTCCTTGGTCATGGTAGGTTATGTGCCTCTGGGGTCCTCACTAGACACTCTGAGGGTATGTGGGCTATTTTCATGATCAAAGTAAAACTGATGGCCTCAATACCCAAGTGCTGGAAGTGTTGGACTGTTCTTCAGAACGCAAGCCTCCCCATGGAAGGGTCCCTTCCCCCGGGTGGTTTGGAACCCTGGTAGTGTGATGAAACTGCAGGCATCTGCAAAGAGCTTCAGTGTCTTTATATTGCTTGAATGGTCTTTCCCCTGCTGTGCTCTCTCCAGTTGGATCTGGGTAGGCGAGAATGTCCCCCCTGAAAACAGTTGCTCTAGCAGCCAGGGTCAGGCATCATGCTGGCCAGGAAGAAGGGAGAGGGTTGCCTGCAGAGCTGAGCCCTGGAGAGCAGCTGTTTTCAGTCTTGCTCCCCTCAACTTGAGGTTCACAGTTCATTCTTGCATTCCAGCCATGAGGGTGGGAGTTTCTGAGGTGGCCACCCCCAATCCAGCGGAGATCATGAGCCCTGGAGTGAAGCTGCCCAGGGTCCTCCCAAGGGTCTCTTGCCCTTTTTTAAGCTCAGAATCACGGAAGCTCAAATGACTGATATGAACTAATACCTCATCAAAGGGCTTTCAGTTTAGTCTTAGTGTTTTAATTGGCACAGTTTATTGCAGACTTAGGGACCAGCACGATTCCCATAGAGGAGAGACAACAGCATCAGCTCATGATGATGAAGATGAGCTTCACGACATTCTTTCATTACCTTTTTTGTACAAAAAATTATATGGAAGGAATCTGTTATTTTACCTATACAGAGTTCAAGATAAAGGTGTAACTTTGAGGGGCTGATCTTACAGCAGGAAGTTTCAGTGTGATTAATGTCGATAGTGCAAAAAGACATGGCTGTAGACATCTGCCTCCCCAGACCCCTTGTGTGGGGGAAACAGATTGGCAAAAGCCTTATAAAGAACATAATATAAAGGTTTCGGACTAAAGTGATTCTTGACATTTTAATTTACCGGTGCTTAGACAATTTAGGTCTTACCATATCTTAATCAACTGTATATTGTAAAGACAAGCTTCCCCAACTCCCCTGCCACTTTCCTCATACAGTAACCCAACATGATACCATAGATACCAAATAGAAAGTAAGACTGTTATTCTGTATTAAATCAGTAAAGGGTGAAGAAAGGACAACTTGGAAGAGAGAGACTTCAGGGTCTGTTATTCCAAGAGAAGAGTGTTTTAGTTACTAGCTGTGGTTACTGGGTAAGCTGAAGGCATCTCTTCAGGTTGCTGCTGTGGTTTGCGTTAAGAGGCGGGGGGTTGCTTCCCGGTCTACTATAAGATGATGCAGGTCTTCTTATCCTTGAATGGGTTTTCCGAGGTGGGTATGCCCATCAGCAGAGGGTCGCTCCGGGCATGCTCCTCGCAGTATGACATCAGGTCTGCAGACGCTTTTGAGACCTATGGTGGACACAAATAAAAAAGAGAAGACTTCATTGACCAGGAGCCTCACCCAATAATCCGTGTCTCAGCATGGCCTTCAGACTGCTTGTCAAGTGCAAGGATAATGGCACTGGCAGGTGAGACCTGCCTCAACCAAAATGATCGTCTGAGGACCCCTCAGCAGCAAGGTACACAAACATTTAACTAGAAATGAGTAACAATCACCCTCGATTTTAAGTGATGGTAACACTTCGAAATGAGCTGCCTGGATCTGCCATAAAACACAGTTAAATACTGTTGTTATAGAACCCTGAAGGGCAGTGGTTTCTCAAGAAGCTTAAAGAAAAAGTCCTAGTGTTTCCTGTAGAAATGTGGAACAAAAGAGAGACATGGAGAGAGAAAGAAAAGCAAGTCACATTTCACAATGCTCAATAGCAACAACTGTAAACAAACGGCTGTGAAATCTTAGTGGAGAGAACGGACGACAGAGCGGGCAGACGTTCCTGCTGCCAAGCCTTATGACCGGAGGACCCCCACACTAGGAGAGAACAGTCTCCTAAAAACTGTATTCCAAAGTCTACATGTGTGCTCGGGTACTGACACATCACACACGCACGTGCATACCTACACACACCCCCACCAAAAAAATTAGTAATAAAAAAATGAATATTTGGATATTTGCCATTCTGTAGTATGAAATGTTTAAAAATAAAAGTTAGGGGCAAAGAAAGAAAGGTGTGTGAATCAAGAGGAAGTTACGTTTGAGTTTCTATCCCAGAGAAAGGAGACTGGAACACAGAAGAGAGTTTAAGAACTGAATTATGGAGCCCACCCCTGACTAAGCTTGGAGAGGTCCTGTTAGGGACCTAGTGTGGGAAGTGAAAGGCGCCACACCAGCACAGGAAGGCACCGTGCTTTACTCTGGTGTGGCACAGGCAGGAACTCTGCCCTTTTCTCTTGTGTGGCACGGAGAAGGCACCACTGAGGAGTCTGGAGGTAGATTTCAGGAGTCATGAGAGCAGAGCTCTGAGGGCCACCACAGGAACCTCACGCTTTTCAGACAGGCGACTGCTTCGGTTTCAGGAGACGGCATTACAGTCACAACATTTCGGGGCTCTCACTGGCCAGTCCTCTCAGGATTGTGGGGGACACTTCAAGGTCAAGGTACCTAAGAGAATGGACCTGGCCTGGAGCCTCTACTAAACCTGGGCCCCAGAGTGGTCACATGGAAAGGCAGCATTTTCCTAAAGGAAGATTCAGTCTGATCGTTGACTTGCAACACTTTGATAACTCTATAATACTTGATACATTCCAGGAGGATGACAAGGATGTTTATCAACTCCACTGGGAATCCTGTCCCCACTCAGAAGACAGTCATGGCAAGGGTGGATCACAGTCATTCAGGAAAGGCAGACTCCCAGGAAATCTTGCCTAGGGCCTTACAGAGAGGCTAGCTTAGATATCTGGCCCCTCAGCTGTTTTAGAATAACAGCTGTGCTAGGTAGGAAATGAAAACCAAATTACTCTCACTCAGCCTGCTCCAGGAAAAGCCTGGAAGCGCGCTGCACATGGCTGTGTCTTCTCTGACTTGTGCTTCTGCTCAGGAAGGGTGGGGATTATGCAGGACGCATGGCCAGTCTGCTCACACTTACCTTTATTCTTTCAATGGAGGCTTCCAATCTCAGCTGCTGCACAGTTCTCCTAGCCTGGGCTATGTTGTTGCTGCTTGCTGTCTTGCTGGACATCTTGGACGATTAGTCTTCCCTGAAATCTGAAGAGAATTTTAAAGAAGTTGACCGACCAGCACTTCCCTCAGGTTATTTAAACCTTTATTAAGATGTGTTATTTGAAGGGGGAAGACTGCGTCTTCCCAACCATCCCAGCCAGAAGTGCCCCACAGCCATTCTGGTGATGATCCAGATGTGCCAGCCTGCCATTCATTTGAGTATCTAGAAAACCTTTCTGCAGAAATCGAGCACTGATCAGTTTAATCTGTGTGCCCCAACATAGTACAGAAAAGTGTCCTTTAAAGAACTTCCTAAGAAAAACAAAGTCATTCTCAGTAGTTACAGGACCTACAGCAAAAGCAAACACTTGTCAGAGAGCGTGTAATTATCACCACACCCCCATAACTGAAGACTTCACTTCATTTCTTTTTTTTTTTTTTTTTTTTTTTTCCCGGTTTTTCGAGACAGGGTTTCTCTCTGTAGCTTTGCAACTTTCCTGGAACTCATTCTGCAGCCCAGGCTGGCCTTGAACTCATAGAGATCCACCTGGCTCTGCCTCCCAAGCGCTGGGATTAAAGGCGTGAGCCACCACCGCCCGGCTCTTCACTTCATTTCCACTAGCCTGGTAAAAAATCCAAGCCACGGGAAATGGTAAGAAGCTCTCCTCTAAAGAAATTTGCCTACAGGGGTCATCAGATATGCAGTCAGTGTAAAGACTGTTGGGAGCTAAACAAGTCTTTATTAAAAAAAGGGGAGGGGATCTTCAGCTGAAGGACTCTCCATGATAGAGCTACAGCAAATGTCAAACGTACAAGAGTCTGGAATAGTAGAGTGTTATCATTCCTTCCTGCCTCGTGCTGTGGCCAGGACCCTTGCCCATCCTGTTACCGCCCTTACATGTTGGAGGGCGGATCCTCCTCTCCGGCTTGCGCCCTTGCAGTCTACGCTGCCCTCTTGCCTTGTCTTCACAAGCACCTGATGCAAAGCGGTGGAAAGAGCCCGGTCCTCGTCCTTTGACCTGTCTGCTTAGGCAATGGCCCCATTTCAAGAGGAAGGCAGGCCCGGGGCAAGTGCTGCCTGGTGCCCTTGCCATATATGGTGACATTCACACCGAGAGTGGTAGTAACTGGAGAAAACGGCAGAGCCGGCAGGAGGGCGGCAGCTGCGTGACTCATGGGAGCAGGTGGGCAGTAGGTGTGTCTCCCTGGCACTATGTGAGGACTCAGCAGTCTCGGGCACCACGGCGCCAGCAGCAAACCCAGGCTGACTCACTCTTCGGGAGGGCTTGCTACTGCACAAAGCTTAGACCAGACGAGGTAGAGAACCCCAGGGACAGACCGCATGAGTGCCCCCAGACACAGATGTCTCCATGGCCTGAGTCAATGAGCAGAGAGGGCTGAGCCTTCTGGTGTCCATTTTGACACATTTGTACAAAAACAAAACACATTACCTCAAAAAAACAAAACCCGAACGAAAACACTGCCCGTCAATCTGTGTGCAGGACTTCGGAGTGAGCCTTGGTGTCGGGCTCACTACCCATCAATGTGAGTGCAGGACTTCGGAGTGAGCCTTCCTGTCACCAAGCTTGGCTGGTCCACTGCCACTCTAGAGGAGGTTGGGACCAGGTAGGCTGTTTCACCTTTGTGTGCTCTTCTTGTTTGTAACAGGAGGACACCACCACCCACCTCACAAATGTTTTTTTCTTCTTTGCAGTGTAGGGCAAATTCAAATCACGAATGCGTATCTAGTGTGGGGCCCAGAACAGTGCAGCTGCTCATCCGGAATCCCCTGCTTCTGCACCTGGTGCTGCCCACCCCGCTTCTCCTACCTGCTTGGTGGACCTCAGGGTTTTGACTGATGTGGTCTAGACAGGGCCCTTTAGAACAGGTCCTGAGGCGATTCTGCCACATTAGTACCAGGACAGAAACAAAGGAGTGGTGATGACCAATAGAACACTGGAGGAATAGGGAAGCCCCAGCAGGACAGAGGTACAGGAAACAGGAGGAGGAAGTGTATGACAGGACAGGGTGGCCTTGCCTTGTCTCAGGCCTTAAGTGACCTTGATTCAACACATGGACTAGCAGACTCTTCCTCGGATTGCAGTCATGCAGGCCTGCCCAGGGGAGAGGCCCTGGCCAGGGTCTGTTGATCAGGTGTCTGAAGTACCATCGAGGCATGGGCAACCTCGCCTTGCTCTGTGCAGGGCCCTGATGCACACAAGCTGGTGACAAAGCCTGTCCCTGCAGCCTAGCAGAAGGGACTCTCCTTCCAGCTGCTGGCTGGCTGAATGTGACCATGACTCCTTGTCTGAGTGGCCTGTGGTTTGTAGGCTGCACCCTCAGGGTTTCGCTATGTTCCCTTTGCATGAAAATAATGCCAAGCATTCTCTTTTTCTCAACCTTCAGGGTGCTGTTTCCAGAGCCAGGGAAAATTCTCTTGTAACTGAAGAATAGGTCACATAGGGACAGCATCACTCATTGTTCCCACCTGTGTGGCCCTCAGCAAATAATCCACAGTCAAGCTCTATTTATAAAAGTCTGGAATGGCCCCGCCCAGTGAAGACACCTAGACGGAGATGCACAGAGGGCGTCTCCCCTTCCGCACTGTGTTAGAGCTAATATTTAAAGCAGCTAGCGTATAAGCCAAAACAAAAGAGGATGAAGAAGGGTAAAAACAGCAACCCGCAATTCATTCTTGCCGCAATTCATTCATTCATTCAGGCCTCGATTGCTCCTTCACTGGACCTGATCACACTCGCAGCCCCCTTCCAAAGGGGGATCTTACCAGTTCCCATGCTCTAAGAGGTCCATACAATACTTTCAGGCTTTTATTTTTCCTTCCCACTCTTCCTCCCACACCCGATTCTTTCCTTCTTAGAAATGGGGGGTGAGGGGTGGAGGTGGGGCAGGGTGTCTTCACTCTGTTGCCCAGGCTGGCTCCAGTGTCCTAGGTGTAAGCAAAACCTCCCAAATAGCAGGAACTGGAGGCAAAAGCTACCATATTGGGCCTAGTAACTTCCCCACCCCCTTTTCTGAGGCACGGTCTCAAAAGGTAGGCATTTTTTCTAACCACCGAGAGAGGGACCTTCCCAGGCTTTGTAAGTAGAGCCTGACTGTGGATTATTTGCTGATGGCCACACAGGCAGGAGCATACTGTCTCAGGCTGGCTTTGAACTTGTGGCAATCCTCACGCCTCCCTCCTAAGCGCTGGAATGCCAGGCTTGAGACACCACACAGAGCAACATGTTTTCAGGTAAGCACTACCGGTACTGGGCTGGATGTGCTGAGACTGAGCGACAGAAAGACACAAGCCCGCCCTCACAGAGGCAGCACTGAGGGAGTAAGTTAATGCTTGCTTTCCCTTTCTGCCTCAGGGGAGCCGATCCCGCCATGCCACACCGCTTGCCACCCTTCTCAGTCTCCAGCGCAAATGCAATTGTTCTGCCAGTTCCTTCCTCTCGGCTGGTACAGGGATAATCCTACCTAGAAAACTAGTGAACATTTAGAGACGAAAGCATTTTAGTTTCATTCTTAAATACAAAGAGCTTCGATTGTATTTCTGCAGTGATAGCTTTGGGAAGTCAGTTCAATGGGGTACTTACTTGTGGGCAGCCCTAGAAAACGGCCACTGGGCCACTGGGAAGGAAAGGAAACTCTGATTATAGAGTTGTTCTTAAGGAGAAACCAGATCAAAATTTTCTAATTTTAAGTTGTCTTCCAGAGACAAAGAATTCGTCTACTAAGCTGCCTCAAATCTAGATAGAGGCTGCGTCTCTTCAGCACTTGGAAGGAGGGAGGCCTTTCTGGGTCTGGGACTGGCTAGAAATGATCTTCGTCGCTGCAGATACTTGGTAAAACCTCAACTAATGTCCTGGGCCAGAGGACAGAGAGACTGGGAAAACAATCACGAACGTCTCCATTTTTCTATTCTGGGCAGGAGAGCCAGGTTGTCTGTCTCTGCACCAGCTTGCTTCATCCAAGCGCAGACTCTAGGGCAAACACCACCTGGCATCCTCATGGAAACTGGAGCTCGCTTGCTGCTTTCACACAGCATTTCAGGAAGCCTCGTTACAACCCCGCATCGGGTCATTACTGTTGTTTTAAAGGCGAGGCAACTGGATCTAGGAAGGTTGGCTTCCAGGTAACCCAGTCCGCACTGTGCAGCAGGTGAGACGAGACTTCTCTCTCCAGATGTCGCCCTTCCCACCTGCCCCACAGAAAGTACGCTATTCTGATGTGGATGACTCATGCACACTGGAGGCATCGCAGAACGTCCCACAACGTGGCTCTTCACTGGGAGCACCTTTGATCCTTTGATAACCTGGCTATTGCTTCTTTTCTGCTTCATACAGGGGCAACACAATGGAATAAGCATGGAGCATTTGGCTAATCAAATGGTTTGCACTGGATTTGATACTATGGTTTGCCTAAATTCTCAGGTTCTTAGAAATCCTAGGAACAAGATGTTCCATTAGGAAAACACAGACATTTAAATCGGTGTCAAGAGGACCTGAGCCAGAGAGGAGAGTAGGCATAAAAAGTGTCACTGAGCATACATCAGCAGAAGGAACAGAGGAGCCTGTAGTCTGAATGACAAGTCATAGTGGCCTGGCCCAGAGCTAATCACTGGGGCGAAACAACTTCCAAGAGCAAACACCCTCTGTGGCTGTAACAAAAGAGCAGCCTTCCATTTACTCTGGCTCTCTCCATGTTGTCTATTCAAGGGGGACAAGAAGACCTGCCTCTTAGGGCTGTGGGAGATGGGACACAGACACACACTATTCTCAATGCACCAGATGCCTGGATACTATGAAATGCTGTGCTCGGGCTGACATTCTTGGTGTGACCCAAGATTAGAGCACTGTTGGAGAATTACAAAGCTATGTGATGAGGTAGCAACAGCTTTCTGATATAGCCTAAGAGGGGTGACGGGCAGAGCAGGCTCTTACAGGCCTTCATCCTCGTGAGCACTTACCACTCATATCAGCACCTAAAGGCTTATGCCAGCCTCAGATGGTGTGACTGGGCTCCACATTCACTGCACA